TTAAGCGTTGTAACATGAATTTATTAACACCCTGTATAGATTTTCGGCATCACTAAGCATTTTTTGGGGCATTAGTGGGTATTATTTGGCATTGCTGGGGCGTTATAAAGAATCTAAAAAGATAAAACAAGATAAAATAAGATCATAAGATAAAGTAATGCCCGTTGAGCATTATTGTCGAATTTTAATGCATTAATAGGCATTGGTGTACATACATAATTTTGGTCAGTGGTTTACCGGGTAAACTTTACCCCTCGGTTTCGATGTAAAAATATCGATTTAAAAAAAACAATTAGAGAGTAAAAAATTACAATTTATTCCCCAAAAATTAGCTGTAATTTTTTTTTTATTTTACTTCTCCCAAATTCTGATGGCAGATTCTGAAGGGGAAAGAAACTTTACGTTAAAAATAATGTTTGAATTTTTTCAGAGGCATTAATATAATAAATAAGACCACTGAAAATTACTTAACAAATGCGTCCCCTTGCACGTTAATGGGTTAAATGATTTGATGAACATCGTTTACAACGAAACTTACTGTCGCGAAGAATCTATATAAATTTTTATACATTCTATACAAATGATTGCACCGGGATTACAGTCCGAAATTACAAGAATTCCAAATTGCATCTAAATACATAATCCTTATATTATTATGCCAATCGTTGACATTACACTTTTAATCCACGTACCAATATTTAAACAAATTAACTTTCGTGTTTCTTTCGTCTTGCATCCCTTATTTTCGGCGGTCCAGCTAGATTATCTGAGATTTTTCCGTCGACAATTACGTCAACGCGTTATTGAGTCTTGTTTCACCAAGAGTTTAACACGTTCACTCGTAGAAGGGAAGATGGAGAAAAGGAGAGAAGGGGAGAGACAGAGGTAGAGAGAAGTGTAACAGCTACTCTGTACTTGGCAATAAATAACTAAAATAATAGTAAATAAATAATAAAATTAGTAGTAAACAAATCTTGTTTACCGCATTATGTATACTGGGTAGAACCATTCACCAATCGCATTACACGAAATATCTCGTTTTATTCATGAATGTTGGCACAAGCACGCTGCGTCTATGAATATCGAGTTCAGATAAACAATTTTTCCTTCTTTCTTCTTCCTTTCTTTTGCCAACTTGGGTTTCTTTTCTTAAAAAACCAACTCGCACTGCCCACTGACAAGTACGGATATAACATAATATTTACATTCCTCGCATTTTCTACACTTTGCATATCTCATTTCTCTCACGCTCAACTTGATAGTCGCGAGGTATAGGCGCTATTTGACTTGGAAATACTCTACGAACTATAAATAGTCCGATTTCCATATCTTGCATCCGCAGACATACTTCAAATTCATGGCCCTTGACGAGCTTCGTCGCAATCATACTGACCGCAAATTCATGTCGTTTTTAGAAATTGCACATTGCTAAGGAAGTTAAGACAAGCTAAACTTTCAACTGAAAGGATTGAGGAAAAGTGATCGTAAAAGTATTATTCATCTAGATTTGCAGTATTCCGTGTCGATAACTAACAGAGAGAGAGAGAGAGAGAGAGTAAAAAATGGATCCATACGAAGCCAATTAATTAAAAAAAATAACGACAAAAGGCCGCGGATTCTCATCTGCGCGAGATCGGCAAGAAATCGGATCTACAAGCGGAAAATGCAGTAATCGGATGTTAATTAAAACTGTGAACATTTTCGAAACAATACATTGAAACCGTCGACAGCAAACCGACAATCCATGCGGTAATTCATCAAAGGGAGATGAATTTCGCAAAGATACATTTTTTAATAGTAAAAGAAACGTTCGTTAAACGTATAAACAAATATCATAAAGTCAAGTGCCAGAAACATACGACACAACAATATGAAGTGTTATACTTATTCAATAAAAAATAGTTTGTTAACGATACAGAGTGAACGTTTCGACTGCACTATTTAATTATACCAATTACAAGTTTTTATCAGCAGAAATTAAAAATATAGAACATAAATTAATCGAATCAATTAAAAATAGCGAAATAAATTGTGTGAATAACGTAACAAAGGAATAAAAAGTAAAAATACTTTTTAAGATTATTATAAGTCTATTTATAACATAAACCTGATCTGATAGAGTCAGAAATATCAGCTATTTCTAAGTCATATGTATGTGTGTTCTTAAAAAGATTTTTGTAAATTGTGTTAATTTGCTTCAAGAGAAATTAGCGACAGATAGATTGAGTGCAGTTTTATCTATAAACAAACGACAATCCGGGACAATTGGAATGAGCAGTGGCTCGTTAAAATAGCTCCCAACTCGAAAATAACCGTCGGGTTTAAGATTCGACGCGAATAACAACTTTAACTTTTTAATGCGCGAGCGAATAGAGTAACGTTGCGACGTTTGTCCGCGAGATGAAATCCGAGAAGTCACTCTTCCATCTTTCCGTCTCGATAAAATTGAAAACAGTTTGACGCAGACATATTCTACCACGTTTTCCGCGCGCGAACGTCTCACTGCCAGCTTCGACCGAAATATTCGCACAATCTGTGAAAATATATATCGTCAACACGCGTCCATTCGTGCGTGATTTCATGTAGCTCGCGTGAAACATCTCACTTATAACGGTATGTGAAAATGCATGCCAATACTCTTTACTGTTTACCTCGCCGGTGCGAATTTCGAAGATAATTATAAACACTGCGTACGGAGGATAAAAATGCTCGTGCAAACACCGTTACAAAAAGTAACAATTGCTCTTCTAATTATAACCCAACGCTTTTCAAAGAGAACAGCTTTTTTATACATAAACTCTTACGAAAAAGTTCTTCTTTCTTTCGTATCTGTGATGTTTTAAAACATTTCTTGTTATACTTTTTATAGCATTCTTTCACATCAAAGAATAACACAATGCAATACGACTTCAAAACGCGATCAAAGAAAATGTGTTTGCTAATAATAGTAAGATATAATAAGATAATACGTAAGATATAAATTTTATGACATTTTCCAATGGTTCGGTAACAAATGTGCGATTTGAATATGTGACTATTAAGTTAGTGTGACTCAATATAATCGCGTATAATCAAAAATTGAATACGTCTATTTGGCTTGCTTTGACTTTTCCGAAGTGGGAATACTTTTCAAAAACAATGACAGACGATACACGAGCGATTAAAGTTTGCTTGTGTCGTACACATAAATTTTTTGGAACAGTAAAATATTAAAAGCTTCGAAAGGGGCTTTAAAGTAGAGCGTAAAGATAGACGTCTTTAGACAGTAGAATAACGGCAGCGATCGGTCGCCCATCGAAAGATTAAGTTTCAGAGTTGAGCGCAATTTATCAGAATCTTGTTTGTAAGACCATTCAAAATCAAAAGTCAACAGAATAAATCTTGCGGTGTAAGATCTGATTTCATGGGAAGATCCCGTTTCACCCTTGAAACGTTCCAGCATCTACAAAGCCTTGTTTCCAAAGTTGTTCCCGACTGTTACGAGGCGCGTTCGAAACGTAAAGGATTAATGTGGCTTGTATAGGTATAGCGTTTAATTTTCGTATATTCATTTAATTTTAAGAGAAAAAATGTGAAAGATAAAACTGATTAAATAAAATAAAATAAAAATTACTAAAATTCTTTCTATTGTCACACCTTCTTATCTGCTTTCTTTTAAATTATGATTATTGTGTTTTTATTTTCGATAATTTTTGTTTATGCATTCGTTATCTGCGTATATTTACGATTACATATCTTGTTAAAAGACTTTTCTGGATCAAATATTATATTGCGACATCATTATTAGATAAATTCCATATCCCAACTATTTCACACTCCAATTATATCTCAATTGTCATTGTTGCATTTGGCAATTTACAATTAAATAAAGATTGATAATAATATACAGGATGTTCCGCAGTGCTTGACAATTTACAATTAAATAAAGATTGATAATAATATACAGGATGTTTCGCAGTGCTTTGACCGCCGTTCACGGAAGTTAGATGGGACTAAGACAAACAGAAAAATCCCCTACCATTTTGCAATTAGAGCAATAGTTATCGAGATATTGATGATTAAAAATCGCCGTATTAGCTCGACCTACTGCCAAATGTAAGCGCACGGTGAGATTCGTTCGCCCATCGACCGCCGCTCGAGGCGGTGCGCGGCGAAGGGTAGTGAGACGCGCCGCTGCCCGTCGCGTAAGTTTGACTTCAGCACGAAAAACTCTACAAGAAACGATAAGTTTCAGGCTAGTGTAAAAAAATAAAATTTTGTTTATCAATGTTATTGGTCTTTGAAGTCTTAAACACAGTAGGAATAGTAAATTCATTTGCTAAATTAAAAAAATTAATCACTTTAAGGATGTTGGGACATTATGACTAAAATGATGAATGCTTCGTTGTAAATCTAATATTAAATGGATTCTGTAGATCTTATCGTAACAAAACTCTTGAAAGTTTGAGGAGTTGTTTAGGAAACTTATTACTGAGAAAATGAATAAAATTACACGTAGTCTTATGGAAAATGAGGGAAAATTATCATATCAGTGAAAACTGATCAGAAAAATATGAAATTTTACAAGCAGAATGAGTAAAACTAAATTATACATACCAATTTTTAGCTCTATTAGAAAACTCGTTTTTTAATAATTTTTTTAAAATAAATTTCAAACAAATTTAATTTCTCGATGTGCCAAAAAGTGGCAACGCTGCAGCAGCATCAGAGTGGCTGCAATTTAAAAATGTGTTATTCAAGTATACCTCACCACTTTACAATTCGTGTACTGGAAAAGTATGACATCGTAACATTACTTTTGTGTAACAGAAATATGTGAAACTGATTGTACACAAACTTAACTTTTAGCAAGGAAAATATAATTGTATTGCTTCCACATTCTTAAATTTCACAGACTGTTGATGCAGCGAAAGAAGCGAAGAATTGAGAAAGAGAAATTACGTGCAACGAGTGACATTTCGAACAGGACATTTTAGGACGCGTTGCGGTAGGGATCTCACCGAGCAGATAGTGTCGTATCCATTTTTTCTTTGGCGGAGGTGGTGTCCAATCGCTACTGTGTCGAAGCGGCTCGCCGCCGTCGACGACGTCGATTATACCGGCGACCCGAGCCGGCGCTGGCGACGGTGGGTTATTCGCGTCCGTCAAGCCGCTCACGTTGTTGTTCGTCTCGGCAACGACGTCGACGACGGCGCTCAGGGTCGCGCGCGATTGCATTACCGGCGACGTGATACTATCCGGCAGCAGGAGGACACCCATCCTTCTTGAAGCCGAGCAAATCAGAGCGGGGGTCGACCAAAACTTTCGTTTGAGCTTTTGCTCCAGAAATACTCGTTCGATTGCTATATCCGCCTCTTCGCAGCTATCATCGATATTGTCATCAATATAGCCGTCGCCGTCGCCGCCGCCACCGCCGTCGCCGTCGCCGTCGTCGTCGAAGATTTAGATCTCGCGAGAACCGATAACACCGTCACTGTCCCACGTCGAAAGAATCCAGAACGAGAAGGCCGCACGAAGAAACTATCGCGGGAATGCGAAATGTACAACGTGGAGAAAGGTCCGACGTCGCGGAGCCACAGCAGTGACGGTCACGACGGCGACCACGACGGAGAAGGGAAGGCACGACGAGGGCTAATAACAGCAAGGTTGTCGGCACGCTAGGCAAAAGCCGAACTTTCGAAACCCACTCGCCGCGTGACGGCGAATCCACTCGAGCGATTTCGAGGGTCGCACTGCCCGCTCATCCACTTCATTCCTGAGGGAGTAATCCTCGGGAGAACATATCTTTCAACGCAAGTCTGCCGATGGAAATTGCGCCCACGTCGAGGCCAATCGTCGCATTATTCGTACGTCTCACGCATTACGCGTTTTAAACAGAATATCCGTGATAATAAATAGGGACGTATTTGCGAAAAGGTAGACACTAACAAAAGACGCACTGCGTAATAACTTTTGGATGAGAAAAATAACGAGCGATGACTAGACCAGGATTCGAACCTGGGATCTTCCGCTTGTCGGGCGACTGCTCTTTCTACTGGGCTACCCAGGCCCACACTCGATAATCCTCTCGCTTGCCTACTCTATTTTACCAAGTAAAGTAAAAATAATATGTTAATATTAGGAGCGCGACTCCAGAGCGAATTCGAGAGATGTAATTTGTAAATCATGAGCGCAGAAAACAACAGGCACCAGTCTCATCGATCTCGCACTTTACGCCACACGTGGATTCTACGAAAGTGCGTGCCGTATGTATATCGCCGTTCTAACTCGAGCGATCGCGACAAGCCGGTCAGCTGTTCCCCGACTCCGTTACGGGACCGGCGATCGCGACCAATCGATCGCGGCGATCGAACGAAACCCGAGTACCGCGTAAGTCGCGGGCATCGACTGAAATCTAAACTTGTGCGCCGCCGCCTCCAGCCCGAGGATGATGACGTCCTCGTGCCTCCCTTCTCGCCAAACAGTGGTGGTGGTGGTGGTGGCGGTAAGCGACGGCGGCGGTGGCGGCGGCGGCGATTTCCCCTCCTATCCCTTCCGCGACAGTGACATCCCCGTCTTCGCGAGAATTGCCTCTAGTCGCCACTCGGCGCGATCACTCTGTCCTTATCGCGCGAAGGACCTCTTCCGCAGCGATGTGACACGTCGGCACTCGAGATAACTCCGGGACCCGCACGTTCTATCTGGGGCGATCACTACGGCCATGTTCCGCCGAAACACAAATTTTCGACGTACTTCGTTTCCAACAAGTTTTTTTTTTACAAGAAGATCCCAGCCCATATAGATTCGTTTTACACGTTACGGTTTGCGTTGTACGCCAAGTACTTGTTAACGCGTTCCATTCACGTTTCATTCACGTCGCAATTTTTAATGATGATTTAATAATTGTAGGGAGGATTGTTTAGTGTCGTGCCCCCACCAAGGGCGTCCGCAGAATTTTTTCCAGGGGGGGGCATCATTTATATTGTTAAAATATTACTTCCAGAACACTTATATGATTTCAATGTTATACATGTATAAAGGTGTATAATGTATATACATATACATACACCTTTTGGTAATAGCTTTCTCACCGCGACAAGGTATGCCAAATAGGCCAAATTTTTTGCTGATTCTAAATTCTAGGGGGGGGGGCAGATGCCCCATCTTGCCCCCCCCCCCTCCGGACGCCCTTGGCCCCCACAGTTCGCACAACATGAGGAAGGTCACCGTAATGGTTTTAGCGGGTCAACTTGGCGCCGCATAATCCGCCTCTTCCCCCGAAGAGGTGGACGCCCGAAGGGATTTCCATACGTATAAAAAAAAGGATGATTTAATAATAATGCGAGATACACTCACCATCGATAATCAGCATCTTCTCTTCACAGAAGAGATCGTCTGACTCTGTGCGTTCTCTCTTGCATTTGGCACCTGAGAGAGAACACAGAAATCGTTTATTTCATGTATATCTTATCAATAATAAATATAAAATATGAAGACGTATAAATTCGCAAAGTTAAATCAAAGCGAATTAAGGCCTGCTATTTATTAATTCTGATAAGGGGATAAAGCAAGAAAGAACAGCTGTCAAAGTGAATTTGTTATTCTCTGCAAAATGTGCTTTATATATCTAGCTTATATCTCAACACAAATCTCTAAGATTCGTTATTTTATCTGAAATAGAAACAACTTCTTCTTATATATATATAAATAAGCAACAGTCTGTATTTCAGTTTATTTTCGGTTGGGTTTGTTCGCAAACTTAATTTGCAATTAAATATTTTTTCTATTCTACGAATATTATGCCTTCAGATTCTCAAATCTTTTTCCAAGATTGTTCCTAAAATTAGCCAACAATCATCATTCGGATGAAGCTATTTTTGTTTTTCCCTCCCGATGATAAGAACATCAATGCAAACGCGATGCATGAGTGTAGGGGGCGCACCATCTCGTAGTCCTACCACATCTCGTCTTCTTATCTATCCCAGATTTTCGCGAGAGCATCTCACGCCGCAAAGGCGACTGGGTGAATCTACAGGTCGATAAAGTATGAAAAATTGAAAGAAGAGCGGCCTCCACGTGTTAGATTGGGGGCTAGGTGAGGAGAATCCCTTACAAAGGTCCGGACAGCGCGACGGGTGGGAGCCGAATCCAAGTGGTGAGGGGCCGCACGAGCGTGTAATAAGCACGGAGTGGGGTAACACCCAAACTTGCCGGAGCAGCTCTGTCTCGCTTCAATTCGCTCGCCCGCCACCCCTCCCCAGTCGCAGAGGAGCCGGCAACGTCGCGGATTGATCAGAACGCCACGCGGCCGAGACGCAGGGTGGGGGGTTTAGCCGGGGACTACGCGCATGCGTATTCCAGCAGCCGACTCGTCCGCGTGTTCACCGGTCGTTACTGACTGCACTCTCATATTTTCCTTTTGTCACTCACCGTTTCGAAGCGCACGTACACGTGTATGATAGAAAATTCATTCACAAAGTGAAATTTTCCAAATTAATTCGATTACAGGCTGCACTGCACACTTTCGACCTGTGCTTCGTAGAAAGAAAATTGATTTCATTATTAACGTCTACTCTGCCGCGATATGTAGTGTAGTATTTATTCTGTCGTGACAAATGCATTTTTCTTGTTGTCAAATTGTAACTGCAAATCAATCTTTAACTTCCAAATTTGGATTTTCATTTTATTTAAATTCAGCCGAGACTACAAGAACTATACCTATTCATCTAAGGCCCGGTTTCACCAACGTTGTTTAACTTTAAGTTTACAATTAGCTTAATCCGTTCTTCGTCTCTTTCCAGCTGTTACTTTAGAAAGAGACAAATATGAATTAAACTAACAATAAGATTAATGTTAAGCGACGTTTGGCAAAACCGGGACTAAACCTATACCCTAAACTATACCCAGTCTATCTAATCTTTGACGAGTAACGTTTGCAAAGCTTGAAGTTCCCGCCGATCAAAATGAAAATAAGTTTGTTTTTAAAGAAGAAAAAGTTTAATTGATTGCTTAAATGTATGTTTACGTGTGTGTACGTATATTAACGTAATCCGATGTGCAATTTTATTTTGAGAAAAATTTAAAAATCCTATGAGACAAATTTACAAGATTTTGAGGATGATCTTTATAGAATTGTGCAAACGTTTCTTGATTAGCCAGCACACATCACGTGTATAATGATAAAAGAACTATGTTTAATTCAGAAATCCATGGAAAAATTTAATCGCCACGTTTCTCACTACCCAAGTAAATGGAACGAGCTGCAGGTGATGCTGGAAATCGTGTAATTTCTCTGTTACAGAGACAATGTTCGTACGGCGCGGCGTAAAATATGGAGGAAGACAGTCGCATTACGACGTTATAAAGTGGAATTGCATCCTTCAGCCGCGTGTACGATAGATGGTCTTAAATGGTCGTTTAACACACGTTGCCGGTTACATCAGGTATAATCACGCACGGTCGTGCCGGCGCAACACGCGCATCAGGATAACAGACCGGATGCGCGAAGATAGAGAGCAAATTACGGCGTTTAAACCATCCGCATTATGACCAGAATCGCGCGCGTAAACGACATCCACGAAACTTTTCCGTTCTGAAGGGGGAAAGGAGGGATCTTACTAACCACACACACAATTATAAAGTACAAATAGTTCGTAAAATACTTTTGTCCCACCTTACTCGTTAGCTGTGACAGACAATTCCTCCCAGTGTGACAACATATTATTGAAAGATTAAAGAACTAGATTGAGAGAGAGGGGGGGGGGAAGAGAGAGAGAGCATTAACAGCTGCGCGCACGAGTAGATGGCGCGCTCATGAATGAAGCGCGAGCGTAGTTTCAGAGTCAGTGACCGGATCGCCCCTTCCCTACCCTCCTCCTCGTTTAACGACTGAATACGCGCGCGATACCCGGGTTTACCATCGCCACTACTACTCCCATCCCTCCTTCCCGCCACGGCGTCGCCACATCACCTCTGTACGGTCGCCATCGGATTCTTCCTTCGTCCCGTCTTTAAGTTTCGCGCCGCTTTACCGATTTACCTTTCCCTCCCTACATACCCGCGATGATTCGACCTCGTCGGATACCTACAGCACCTCTCCGTCGTCTCCCCCTTCCATTTGAGTCGGTCGTCTTCCGCCACCCTATGAGATCTCGCCTTCCCTCACCACACGCTCATAACTCTCCGCTCTCGCCCACCTTTTTCCTTCTCCCCCTCCCTGTCAACGCTCTGCGTGCAAGTGGTTCGAATACGCGCGTACGTTGATTCCGCCACGAGCGAAGGGACGCGAGGCGCACCGTGCACGGTGCAAGTCGGTCGAATCCTTCGCGCCTCCTTGCGCCGTTCCCTTCTCCGTTCTCCAAAGTCATCCGACGAGCAAACTTGAGGCCTGCTCTCCCCTCTCACGTATCTCGTTTTCTTTGTCTCCCCTTGTAACCCCCTGTAAATGCTCACCTTTATCCCCAATGCACTTTCGCGCGGATCTAGCTACGTCACGAGACAGAGAAAATTCCATCGTTTTCGGTGCTCTCGCGGGAAAGGGGGAGGCGGGGTGAGGGAGGGTGTAATAAAGTCGACTTACTATATAGCAACTGCGTAACACGAGATTGACATTGACGTGACAAAACACATGTCGCGCGATACTACCCGCGATACTATTATCATTGCAGAACAACAAAGTGACGCTGCTTCTGTCTTAAATTGTGTTTCGCTGATTTTTCAATAAATTTTCATATTGCTACGGAGCTTCGGCAATTTCGACAAAGCATAAAGAGAAAAAGGATGAAAAGGAGAAAGAGAAAGCAATACGAGAGGCTTGTCTCGCAGGAGTGACGGCTACACTTTAAGTCAACTTGAGAGAGCTTGGTGGTAACCGAAGGGATACGTCGCCAATAATTCGGTTAATTCCCTGTTCATGCACGCTCAGGGACGGTACGATTGGTCGATCGGCCGTACAGGCTTATATCTTGCGGGTAAAGTTAGCCGTTAAATATCGCGCAAAAGTAACGATCAATATTTTGTACTACATTTCCATTTTGCGATGGCAAAAGATAGGAAACAGATGGCCAATGCAAGGCCAAGGTAGGCCGGCTTCTCGTTCCAAGACGCGTCGTCTGACACACTGGGCTCGTCTTCGTTACTTTCTCCCCGTGTTCGTCACGGTTGAGAAACACTGCCACGAGGTAAATCATACCTAATTTGGAGGCGGTGAACGCGTGGTCATCGCACGCAACTGCGCGTGCCAGTGCTTCTCACTCAAAGTAGACGCGATTGTCAACGCAACGTGTTGTTTTCGCCAAGTTTATGCGTGGGAGAGAGGGAGAGGGGGGAGAGGGGGGAGAGAGAGAGAGAGAGAGAGAGAGAGAAAGACGATCTTCCCCTAATATGCCCGGTTTCGCCAATGATTTGTAACAAAACTATTGTATAA